ATTGTTTTGTCATCCCCATTCACAACATACGTGGGTACACATTTTTGTACAACGGGGTAGTGGGCGAAGAAAACAACAGGATTCCTTCAAAAGTAATTAGGAGCATGTATGCCTATATTTTTCTTTTATGATCCAACCATTCCATGGTTACCTTTGTTTTTTTTGTATGTTCCTCCAGCACCCGTGCTCCCAATCAGAATACGTTACGACCCACTATCAATGGCATTTGCGTCTTTGCTAGAGTCACGAATATGCTCCGACTGAGTATAATATGTGCGTTAGGGTATACGGGGTGTGCCACGCCAATCTTGACCCATGTGGTCTTACAACACGACATGCACACGTGTGTGCGTGTCGCATTCACACACCACGTATGCCCGAATTTTATTATTGCTGGCCTTCACTCACATGTGCTTTGCGCGTTTGTGCGGGTGCGGGTGCCTCTCGTTTGCTGCATTTATAGTTGGTATTGCTGTAAGCGTGCGAGCTTACTTACATGTGCCTTTCTGTGTGTGGTGTGTTTTCCCTAGCTTAGCATCTGCAAGTCTGAAACATTACTTGTCTTTCCCCTCGTCTCCACAAGGCGCTACAAGTGGTGTGGGCGATAACACGGGCCACGGTGCAGGAGACAGGTGGTGGGTGCTGTGGCGTGCACGTTCTCAGTTGGTATCTTGGAAGAGCGAATGGCATGCGTGCATGTATTCGTTGGGCAGTGTGGGAACCAGCTTGGGACCCAATTTCTTGACAGCCTCGTAGCTGAGGCGTATGCGAGTGATGTGGATGACGGGTTTTCAGCGCAGGTGTCATCGCTTCACTTCCGACCGGCGCCGGCGCCGCGGGGCGGCGGGGTACATGATGGTGCCGCAACGTCTCCGCTCCCGCGCTGTGTGATGATTGATATGGAGCCCAAAGTCATTGAGGGCATCCTCAAGAACACCGCGGGTGGGGGAGCGTACCGGCCGCATGTACGGCAATGCATTACCCGCGATGAGGGTAGCGCCAACAATTGGGCCTGTGGTTACTTCCAGCAGGGCAGCAGCAGGAAGAAAGAGATTGTCGACGCACTGCGCCGCGAGGGCGAGTCATCGGGGAGTGTGAGCGCGTTTCACGTGGTGCACAGCGTTGCGGGTGGGACGGGCTCTGGGGTTGGCTGCCTGGTCGCCGAAGCCGTACGGGAGGAGTTTCCTCGTGCGTTGCTCCTACACTCTGTCGTTTGGCCCTTTACCACGGGCGAGGTGGTGACGCAGTGGTACAACTGCGTCATGGCAATGAGTGCACTGCGCGACACCGCCGATGCCGTTTTTATGGCGCACAATGACGACTTTGGTGATGTCATCTCCGCAAGCAAAAAAAGCGTCGGTGGTGCTCACCGTAGCGAGGTCTCATTTGCAAGCATCAACGACGGCATAAGTCGTCTGCTGGTGGATATGCATCTCCCGCAGAGTGTATGCCGTGTGACGCAGCGCTCATCCACAGCACCGTTAGCAGCCACTCCAAAGCACATTAATCACCTGCACTCACGCATGCCACTGGAGGCTGAGCGGGTGCGTTCCCGCAGCCCCCCTGCGAGACCGCTGCGACACGGCAGCGTGGCAGACCTTGTGGAGTCAGTGGCACTCGACCCGGCACTGAAGTTTTTCTCCGGCGCCTCGGTCGCCAATGATGCAGCTATTCTCCCCGGCGGAGGAAGAAGCGGTGGCAGTGGTGGGGTGGAGGACAATTCAATGTCGTGGCAGAGTGTTGTGCGGCAAGCAGCACGCAGGTCCGCAGAGCTCTTTCCGCCATTTGCCGGTAACTGCATCAGTGGAGTGGTGCCGCAGCGGCCTGTTCTCTGGAGTCTGCGTGGTCCTGCTGCCTGTAGCGAGGGGCTATCCGCGCTTCAGGCGGTTACTGCGTTGTCCCCCTCACTTTTCTCGACGGATCTCCTCCTTTTGCACGAGAAACGCTATCGTGGGCACGCAGCTCACGTGTCGCTCTTTGGCCCCACACGCGACATTGGAGTGCGGCTGTGCACAGCGCTGGAGTGTACCGAGCAACTGCTGTCCGTTGGGGCATTTACGCATCACTTTAGTCGCTATGGTGTGGAGGTGGATGATCTGCGGGACGCTGTTGTGCGGTTGTGGGACACTGCGGTGGTGTATGCGTCTGCATGAGACCAAAAGGGGTGCGAAGGCGGCAACAACAGCCACGACAACACACAGACAAGGGGGTGGAAATGTCCATGGAGACATGAAGTGTGGAGATAGAGGCGGAATAGATGACGGGGGATGGGCGATTGGAAGGGGGGAGTAAGGGGTACTCTACTGCGTCTTGGCACACCTCCCTCGTTTGGTTGTCTTTTCTGTTCGTTTCTTCATTGTCATTGTATCAGCGACAGCTTAGTCAGCCAACAACAAGGAAGAAGATCCGCAAAGTATAAAAAGGAGTAAGGAAGTAAAATCACAAAGCAGAAACTGCAAAAGAAAGCAGCCATGTCGGTTGTCATCAGCGAGGTGTCCCGGCGGTGCGTCCAGCACAACCCGTACGACAAGCAACTGCTTGACACGCGAAGCGACGGCATGAGTTTGGCCGCCGTGGAGTTCTTCAACGCCGCTGCACAAATGGAGGAGGATGCCTTAACGTCACAGAAGGAAGTCGAAACGATGGATGCATACGACCACATGACGTGCACAGAAGGTGAGGGTGGGATGTCGGACAATGTCACAGATGAGGCCAGCCAAACGTTGGCTGCATTACAAATGTCATCATCCGCCTTTGTGATGCAGCCTGCGCCCGTTTTGCCCGCCGTCCGCTATGCCTCCGTGAATTTTCGTTTCGGCAGCGCTTGGTTTGTCGCCCCCTTCCGTACCTCCGTTGGCGAAATGGTCGTGGTGGAGTACCCGCACAATAAAAGCCTGCATATGGGCCTTGTCAGCTGCATCTCGACACGGACTCCGCCCACGTTTGCCGCCATGACAGCCGCAGACGGCACGATCAGTGAGGCGGATCTTCGGCTGTGCCCGACGCTTGTGCGCCACGCCCGCGACTTTGACCGGCGGACGAAGCTGGAGCTGCGCTCACACGACCTTGCCTCGCTGAAAAATGCGCAGACGCTTGCGTTGGAAATGGAGGCGCCCGTCACATTTCTAGACGCCGAATGGCTGCTTGATCTGACGGCCGTGACGTTTCTCGTGAACGTTTGGGGCAACATGTCGCTGGTGGACCGTCTTGCAGATGAGTTGGCGGTGTTTGAGGGGTCTGAGGTTGTCTTTACGTACCCCGCGGTGAACTAACGGTCCGCGCGAAGCGCAGCACTAACACAGATGGGGGAAAAGACGTGTTGTTGGGGATCCGCGTGAGAGGGAGCGAGAGGACAAAAAATGAAGTAAATGCGCAAAAAGGAGAAGCTGTAGGAAACTTTCTCCCTCCACACCACAAGTGCGCACATACCCGTACACATATACACACGATCAAGTGTGTGTGGGTGTGTGGAGGAAGCGGAGTCACATGTATATATGTATACGTGCTAGATGAGGAAACAAGGAAGGGATGAGGTGGCTGGTTGGTTGGTGATTTCACCTGTCATCAAATCAGTATCCCCTCCCCCTGTCCTTTTGCCCTGTCCCACTTCACTTTTTTTGTTTTTTTTTTTATTTGCGATGGACGCTGTTGAGCCCACTCATTTAAAATGCGAAGTGCCAAGAGTCTGCTGCCAGAGGAAGAAGAGCAATTTAAGGGAGAGGGCGCCACGAAGCCAAGTAGGCAAGCAAAGTTTATTTGCCTGCAAGTTTCCTTTGTTTGTGTGGCTTCATACTTTTGTATTTTGCGCCTGTGCGCTTCCTTTTGCTGTGCTCTGTGGTGTTTGGCTCCTTTTTGTTTTTGCGTGTTCGCTAGAGATGAACCGTAATCGGAGAGGGAGGAGGATGTTGGGTCGCCGCGCAGGTGTGAGATATATGTTTGTATTCCCGTGGGCTTTTAGATGCGCGTGGTGCCTGTATTTTATTATTATTTTTTGGACGGCTGTGGATTTGCTTTGCAGTTCACTTGCCGCGTCCTGTGCTGGAAAAAAGGGGTGGGAGCCCCCTACCGCACGGGTGGAGGACACCAAACTTTTTTTTGGCCTCTGCTCCCTCTCGCTTTCACTTATATATATACACATATATACATACATATATATTTGAACTGACGAGGAAATGAAGAAATGAATGCGTGTGTTGTTTGTGTGGTCCCGTGTCTCCGCTGCATTGCCGCCGGTGCCGTCGTTAATGTGAGAGGGATCTGCTGTTGTTGCTTGGCCCTCCGTGTGTTGTGTGGGGTTTGGGTGCAACACACTTGCACTCCAGCACGCATGCACCATGGAGTCTGCGTCGCACAGTTGCGTCGCGAATAAAATACGCTTGATACAACAGAAACTCCCCGCCAGCCGGGGAGCGCGAACGGCGAGCAGTGAGCGCGGAAGAACTGGAAAGAAGTGTAAGACGAGCCCCCGAAGAGCTGCAATAATACTATAGGCTTACCATTTTTTGCGGATATGTATATGTCTGTTCATTGATGTTAAACTGCTGTGTAATATATAGGATGTAATCTACACCTTCTGCGGGTATTGGTAGCACCCTTTGATTTTAACGAGTATATGTTTGGATATTAGCGAATGATTTTAGTTTGCTGGGCGCTTTTTTTATATAGTTTTTTTTTTGCTGCGATCGAGTGTATAACTGTACTTTACGTGAATGAGAGAGAGAGAGAGATGAGGCGGGGGGATGTGCGGGTGCGGGTGCCTCTCGTTTGCTGCATTTATAATTGGTATTGCTGTAAGCGTGCGAGCTTACTTACATGTGCCTTTCTGTGTGTGGTGTGTTTTCCCTAGCTTAGCATCTGCAAGTCTGAAACATTACTTGTCTTTCCCCTCGTCTCCACAAGGCGCTACAAGTGGTGTGGGCGATAACACGGGCCACGGTGCAGGAGACAGGTGGTGGGTGCTGTGGCGTGCACGTTCTCAGTTGGTATCTTGGAAGAGCGAATGGCATGCGTGCATGTATTCGTTGGGCAGTGTGGGAACCAGCTTGGGACCCAATTTCTTGACAGCCTCGTAGCTGAGGCGTATGCGAGTGATGTGGATGACGGGTTTTCAGCGCAGGTGTCATCGCTTCACTTCCGACCGGCGCCGGCGCCGCGGGGCGGCGGGGTACATGATGGTGCCGCAACGTCTCCGCTCC